GTGTATCTGTCTACTCAGCTGCAAGACCAAGACATTGTCCCAGTGTGTATCTGTTTACTCAGCTGCAAGACCAAGACAGTGTCCCAGTGGAATATCTGTCTACTCCGCTGCAAGACCAAGACATTGTCCCAGTGTGTATCTGTCTACTCAGCTGCAAGACCAAGACAGTGTCCCAGTGTGTATCTGTCTACTCAGCTGCAAGACCAAGACAGTGTCCCAGTGTGTATCTGTCTACTCAGCTGCAAGACCAAGACAGTGTCCCAGAGTGTATCTGTCTTCTCAGCTGCAAGACCAAGACAGTGTCCCAGTGGAATATCTGTCTACTCAGCTGCAAGACCAAGACATTGTCCCAGTGTGTATCTGTCTACTCAGCTGCAAGACCAAGACAGTGTCCCAGTGTGTATCTGTCTAGTCAGCTGCAAGACCAAGACAGTGTCCCAATGGAGTATCTGTCTCCCCAATGTACCATTGGGGTGATAAGACTATAATGGTCCCTTTAGGGGAACATGTCTTTTGTACAAGTTTCAAATTTCTACATGTCTTTTTGATTTCCATGTTACAATGAAATACAAGTATCGTAAGGATGGGAAAGCCACATTAACTCGGTGCGCCTTGTAGGCAGCAAGAGTTGTATGCTCCCCAGGGAGTTCAGATTGAAAATAAGATGTGCCGTTGTGATGGACATCCAATGATCGAGGGAAAACAAAGCGCCTTTGAGCAGTTGTACTGGATATCGGCGCTATACAAATGTTTGTATGTATGTATGTATGTATGTATGTATGTATGTATGTATGTATGTATGTATGTATGTATGTATGGATGGATGGATGGATGGATGGATGGATGGATGGATGGATGGATGGATGGATGGATGGATGGATGGATGGATGGATGGATGTAAGTACAGTGTCAGGCGGACATTTTGTACTCTGCCATAATCATTTTGATGTTTGTTCTGGACTCTGACTATAGTTAACTGCACTGTTAACAAGTAACAAGTTGGCCATGAACATCATGTACCTTTGTGTACTATTTCTTCACATTCAGGAGAATATGGATGATTTTCAAGTTTCATCAAACTGCCTTCAACGTTCTTGATATATTTTCAGATATACTGCCATAGGCTGTGAGTGTGTTGTTCCATGGAACATGTTGAGTGAGATGTTTGTTTGGTGAAATAGTGGATGCTCTGAGCTGTTTGGTTCAAACAAGCCAGTGGTTGATATACTGAGGCCACGTCACTGACAGGCAGCGAACATAATCATGATCATGCAGTCAGGTCAGTGTGACCGTCTCATGACATATTTGGTGCTCTGGTATTCCATGGAAATTGGAGATTGTATGTTTTCAGCAACAAATTTGTGTAATATAGCATTGACATTGTTTAGTAAAATATATATATGTGTCATGTGTAGGCACAAATTGAAATGTGAGGAGACCTTCATGTGACCTTGATGTGACATCTTGCTAATGAAGGAGAGAAACACGATATGTAAATTTCCTTGCCACACATGGCCTCATCAATTCACATTGGGCACCTTTAAAGCTCAGGAGAGAGTGTAATTCTATTATATATCCAAAATGTGTTAAAGAGAATCGATTCTCATACAGGAACCGTTCAGCACTGGCTCTATGATAGGAAGGGATGTGCATTTGAAGTGAAAGTTGAAGTGATGTCTTGGCTTTTTAGTAGACTTAAGTTCAGTGGAATGGTTTGAAAGGTGAACAGGCAAATCTATCCGTAGTCATTACGATGTTTAGTGTTTGCTATGAGATGATGGTGATAGTTTATGTGGGAAATGACTTCCTTAATAAACCTCTCTTCCTTATGTGTATCACTTCTAAATGCCATTCAAAGACCTTTGTGTCGGAAGTATATTTGAATATGTAAAAGCAGAAGAACTGAGTAGATGATTTTTAAATGGCTGCGTAACATGGTATAATTTGGACAAGGAAGTCACAGGCTCTTGGATGCAGGTGGTGCCATATGTATGTACAGACATATATTCATGTCTACATGATGAGCAACATGCTTGCAGATCCAGCATCTGTGCACCTGTATTGCACATGAGCGCTGCACAGTCATTCACATACCTTCACATTTCAGCTGTATACACACACCACCATGTTCTTTATCACACAGAGTTACTATGTTTAATGCTGGGGTCGGTGTATGATGATTAAGCAATTCACCTCTCAATGGTGGGCACATACTGTCACATATTATCAGATCTTTTCTTGATTTTATCAACTTTTGGTTCTTGGACTGTGGGCTTTCACTGGTTTAGGTGTATTATGGATTTACAATCAGAAGGTACAAGAAACATGCCTAGGTTAAATACATTTTCCTTTTGCCAAATTGCACCATTTTTGATGGATTGGAGAAACAGAAAGTCACATATATTTTTTAAAAGAAAATTGATCAAATGCATTTGCACATACAATAACTTTATATGTTGACATCCCAAGGAAATCAATTTGAAAAGATCTGAAAGCCATGGAAAATAAGAGTGTGACCAAAATAGGGACTTGCCAAAGAGGGTGTGTTTTTAGTAGTGAGGGATTTCTTTAATCACATGCAGGGCTCAAAGAACACAGACTTGAGCTAGAAAACACAAGGAGGAGCTGGCTTGGATCAAATGATTACATGGACAGTGGTCGAATGAAGTCAGATAAACTTGATCTTGTCAGACCCAGAATAAGTTTGGTACTAAATCATCATTACATCATCAGCGTTATATATAATGTTATATAGAGCAAGAGGTGCATCAAGGATTTGACTGGGGCAGGCTGGTTTCATTTCCATAAATTAGGCCCTTACATTCTTAAAATCATAATATGTGAGTGAGTAATTGTCAGTTTATGTTGCATGACAAGCAATGGAAACTAGCCCTAGCAAACTAGTGCTTGATATCAAGAACACCGATCCATGCTATCAGGATATGATTATATACACAGCAGTTAGATTTCACAATTCAATGTTCAATGGTCAGTACCCCAAAACAAACAAGGGATGCTGGAAATCAGCCTGGAGTCAGGTGAGCTACATTGAGGTGTTCCCATTGTGAGAGTGTTGCTGTTACTTGTATAACACCTATGCTGATGTATGTGTCATTTCCAGCCTGGTTCTGCTTCCTTGACACTGTGGGTGCAGCAGTTGATAACCATCTCAGTGAGTTATGTGGCACTACAAAGCGATTTGCACTCTTCAGTGTGTCCCAATTCACTGTTCATTCTTGTTGATCAATACAGGGATTATGTCAGTTTTTTTCCAGAAAGTCTCTGAAGTAGAGATGAAAGAGTTTGATAGTCAGGTAGGAGAGGCGGATAACCCTGAACAATGTCAAGACTTGCTTCAAAGGCATTAATATTGGAAAATGAGGAACCAGCAACCACTTGTTCCTGTGTGGGTACCATACCAATCCTGGCCTACAGCCTGTTATAGCAGGTACATGTACACTGCTAGTCATTGAATGAAGTTCTTCTCAGGGCCAAGCAGTCCTCCAGCCTGGAGCTCTGTCACAGAACACATTCTGGGTAGTGGATCCAACTACAGTGGTGGTCACTGAATGAAGTTCTTCTCAGGGCTAAGTAGTCCTCCAACCTGGAGCTCTGTCATAGAACACATTCTGGGTAGTGGATCCAAGTACAGTGGTGGTCACTGAATGAAGTTCTTCTCAGGGCCAAGCAGTCCTCCAACCTTTAGCTCTGTCATAGAACACATTCTGGGTAGTGGATCCAAGTAGACTGGTGGTCACTGAATGATGTTCTTCTCAGGGCCAAGTAGTCCTCCAACCTTGAGCTCTATTACAGAACACATTCTGGGTAGTGGATCCAAGTACAGTGGTGGTCACTGAATGAAGTTCTTCTCAGGGCCAAGTAGTCCTCCAACCTTTAGCTCTGTCATAGAACACATTCTGGGTAGTGGATCCAAGTACAGTGGTGGTCACTGAATGAAGTTCTTCTCAGGGCCAAGTAGTCCTCCAACCTTTAGCTCTGTCATAGAACACATTCTGGGTAGTGGATCCAAGTAGACTGGTGGTCACTGAATGAAGTTCTTCTTGGGGCCAAGTAGTCCTCCAACCTGGAGCTCTGTCATAGAACACATTCTGGGTAGTGGATCCAAGTACAGTGGTGGTCATTGAATGAAGTTCTTCTTGGGGCCAAGTAGTCCTCCAACCTTTGGAGCTCTGTCAAATATTTGTCTATATTTTGTTGATAAATTTGTTTGATGTTTTCATGACAACAGACTGAATGGGAAATGCATGTTTTCTGGAGCTGAACCACAAAACAATAAAATATCTCTGGATGATACTTGCTAAACAAATCAGGCTAGTGATGGCACTGCAAAGCTACCAGTGGATAATTGGGGATAATTTTAGATAATTGAGGATTTTTTTGCCCTCATTTTAGGATGACATGTTGTACTTTATTGAAACTTAGGTTAGTGCTTGTTTCAAGGGCATAAATCCAAAACCTTTCAATATTTCTTGATGAAACTAGCTGCACAGATCAGTTGGGTTTTGTTAAAAGTATCTGTTGAAGTATGTCTTGTCTACGCTGAAGTGTAGGTATCCAATGGCAATGAACCAAAAGTAGGGTATAAGTAGTCAAACTACATTTCCTAACTGCAACAGACAAGGGGGAATATGTCATCTCCTGTTGACTCTTGTTTTACAGGTCTTTGTGTTCAATTTACCAATTGACATGTTATTAAGATTCAGTGTTAAGCAAAATATGTTCTCAAAGGTTACCTCTAATCCAACTCAATGGGGGCGGTGAGGTGTAGCCTTGTGGTTAAGGCATTTGCTCGTCACCGTGAGAGCCTGGGTTTGATTTCCCACATGGGTACAATGTGTGAAGCCCTTTTCTGTTGCTAAAAGTGGCATAAAACCCAACTCACTCACTCACTAATCCAACTTGTTTCATAGAAACCCCGACATGTGCCAGTAGTTCATCTAGTCTTCTGTCATCAGTTGTGTTCTCATTGTATATTTCAGGATGATGGAAGGATAATCGGCTTGGCGGCAGACATAGACGACGGCTGGCTCTTTTGGTCAGATATCAGCTCACGACAGAAGTCAATATATCGGTCTCGACTGGATGGAACTGATGTCACAGTTATCCTCAGAGGTGAGTGGATGGGCCATATATTGACCTCCATCATTGATGTTCTGGTTTAAGAAGCATCATTAAAAGAATGTAACATGTAATCTCTAAATATCAATAAGCATTATGTCTTTACCATCATAAGACCCATGAAGAGTCGTGTTACAATTTGTCTTCAGCCAACCATGCTTGTAACAAGACGTGACTAACAAGATCAGGTGGTCAGGCTGGCTGAATCCTGCATGTCACTGAATCCCAGTTGTCAAGAATTGCTGAGTGCAGCAATAAACAACAAACAAACAAAGCAACAAACCAATACCATCATCATCCTGATCATTATTATTACATGTGTCATTGTCATTAGTATTGCCCTCTATCATTACCTGTGTCATGATAACTATCTTGGACAGTCCTCATCAAAAGCACCAGAATATCACTTTTCTGTAACATTGTTGTCAATACTGTTGTTAATGAAACATTATATTCATCACTAGCAGGGTGGTGGGGTAGCCTAGTGGTTACAGCGTTGGCTCATCACACTAAAGACCCGAGTTCAATTCCCCACATGGGTACAATGTGTGAAGCCTGTTTCTGGTGCCCCTGCTGTGATATTGCTGGAATATTGCTAAAAGTGGCGTAAAACCAAACTCAATCATTCATCAATAGCACTGTCCCCTCACTTCAATGTACTTCAGTGAATTGTGTGACTCAGCTTCACAACTTCCCTGTAAAGAAGTTTTAAACCAATGTGTGGCTGGCTTGTCCAGTGTAAGGGTCAGGATTCACAATAACTGAACCAGTTCCTGTATTTTCTAGAACACACATTTTTTCCAAAAACATATCTTTGTTAAGGGAAGTGTGCATTATACACACAATAATGAATATGTATGTTTTTCCCAAAGCACAGTCATTAGTGTGAGCACATAACACTAGGTATACCATGCCAACAAATATGAAATAAGATAAGCTATTTAATCATACGATTTGCCTGTCTTGTTATAAATAGTGTTCATTGTATCTCTGCACATATTTTATTCATCTCTTTAATTTATATTATTCATAATTTCATTAAATAATGTTTGCATTAAGTTCAGTGAGATCGGGTGAAGTTATCGACAGTGCACCAACTCACCATTATCTACAGCAACCACGGTAACATCCATTTATCTCAGCTCTCTCACTCTCTCTGTTGGAGTCCAGCTGATGACAGGGTGCCTGTATCACTATATTTCATTGACAGCAATCCCATGAAACAGAGGTATATTTTAAATGAGATTTTTCATTTCCCAATTTTTAATTTTATAGGATTTCTTTGACAGTCATTGCAGCAAGAATGGTTATTAATGAATCAGGTTCAAGCGATAGTGTCCATGCTGCGTTTTAATGTTTCCACAAGGAGGATTAGATGCTGACATAGATGATTGATGGGCAGAAAGAACAAAATTGCTGAAAATGAAAATGATGAATGTGTTTATTTCCTCCTAATGATGAAAGCACTTCAAAGGCACACCGCCAATGGCTTTCTCATCGAGGATGTGATGCAAGTACCCAGTGGTTTGTGTGATAAATTATTCACCTCAATCAAGCACTTATCACTTGTCTTTGTGAATAATTCATGTTGGTCATTGCTTGCTGCTGCAGCAGACAAGCAGTGAGTGACACACGGTTATGGAATAATGATGTTATCACCCAGTGATGGATGCTATACGTGCTAGTCTGTTTCCTACTGAGGTGTACATAATACAGTCATGTATGTTTAATGACAGATCATGACACATGTACACTTTGCTGGGGAGTGTGTTGTTGTTAGCCAGTGATGGATGGGGGACGGGGTTGTTATACTTACTATGTGAGTGAGTGAGTTTAGTATTATGCCGCTTTTAGCAATATTCCAGCAATATCACGGCGGAGGACACCCAAAACCAGCTTCCCACAATGTACCCGTGTGGGGAATCGAACACAGGTTTTCGGCATGATAAGCAAATGCTTTAACCACCTCACTACCCCACCGCCCCCTTACTATGTGAGAATGGTGGAAAGTATCAGTATTATTGTAATGTAATTGACTGTGACAGAGAGATAAAGTAACATAAATGTAAGTGTTACAGAAGTCTGAGAAGATCTGCACTTCAATGTCAGGGTGTGAAATATTTCAAGGTTTATCCCAAAAATGTTTTGGCATATTTTTAATGAACCACTATTTAGCTACAGCAAATGTATAGTTATTTTCAATTTCAATATAATTCGTTCTATAATTTCCGATTCCATGAAAATGTTCATGTAGTAAATTAAAGAACAAGCAAATTAAAGAACAAGCTCTGTTGAGAAAGATGTTCTATTTATTTTTTCATCAGAAAAAAATTTGGTATGGTTTTTATAACTAAACAAAACTGTTTATATGAGAAACTATGACTAGATTAATATGAGTGCTGATATCAATGTTGAAGATGGTGGTTGTAGTAGTTGCAGAGGCAGCCTGGTTCACACAACATCTAGTATTCACTTCCTCTGTTATCTGTATTTGTTGAATGTCACAGCAGCAGATCTCCATTGTTCCAGGCTTGGTTTATACGGACAGTTATTGTTTCTGCAGTAAAGCAACAAGTGTTGGGGAAAAGATCTTGGAGAACACAGGATTTATTACAGACACTTCGGAGTCTGAGCTCACCAACTTTCTCTGATAGCCACTACTGTAATCAAGGTTAATGTCCTCTGATGAAAGGTAGAGGCCTCATTGAATGCTGATTGAATTGCAACCAGCCGAGGTTCCATGGTTCCTTGAATTGGTAACTCCAAGACATCTGGTGTTCCTGCAGGTTTATGCCAGTCTGATGCTGCCAGCCATAGCGATGACCTTGTGACCTCTGGCCAGACCTGCGCTATCAGGGCTGGCATGGGAGTGTTGGGAGGGGGAGGTTACAGAAGAATGTGAAGCAAGCTGGCGATGTTCAGCTGTCTCCCAACCTGAGTGATTAGTTGCTTCATGCTTCTTATCATTGTAAGGAGCCCAGTAATGCCAGCCAGCAGATGTATGATTGTAACATTTCGGATGAGAAGAAACATTAAGTGTTATTACTTGAATGTGCTATTGTAAACTAGAAGCCCATGTTTAAAGAGAAAGGTAACACTGTGTGAACTGCACAAATATTGTTGGACCTTTTCATGAAATGTCAGATTGCTATGGTTTCTATATTGGTTAATTTTAAAGTCTGGCAAGAAATATAGTCAAAAGTTGTAATGAGCACCAGTTTGACCGCAATCCTGTGAACAATGCTTGACAGACTGTATCTCAGTAGGAAACACCTAGAAATGCCTTTTCAAATTGTTAAAATGTGCAAAATTATATCTGGTAAGTTCATGAAATTCATTTATGAAAAGAACATCAATATTTCAGGGTAATTGCATAGCCTGAATTTTTCAAGAGCAATGTCAGCCTGGTAACTTTAATATTGAACCTATCTACATTTACAACTTGGTAATAATAAATAATAATAAGTGATAACAGTACCAGGAAACAAGCCAGATTTCCATGGATTTGAGAAAAAATTGTCACTCCATTTGTTAATGAATCTAAGATTTACAATGAGCTACAAAGGGCTCATACCAGTCTGTATCACATCCCTACTACAAGACCTGGTAAGGTCCAGGTTAGAATATTGATCTTCAGTAACCCATGCTTGTCGTAAGAGGCGACTGAAGGGATCGGGTGATCGGGATCGGGTGACCAGGTTGGCTGACTTGGTTGACACATGTCATCGGTTCCCAATTGTGCAGATCAATGCTCATGCTGTTGATCACTGGATTGTCTAGTCCAGATTCGATTATTTACAAACTGCCGCTGCCGGCGCCATATAGCTGGAATATTGCTAAGTGCAGCATTAAACAACAAAGCAAGCAACCAACCATTTTAAATATTTGCAAGTTTTCTTCAAACAAGTAAATACACATGATGAGACATTTGATTATTTACAGACCACCGCCATATAGCTGGAATATTGCTGAGTGCGGCGTAAAACTAAACTCACTCACTCACTCCTTACTACAAAGATTTTTCCAGGCAGTTAAAGTTGAATACTTTGGGTGGATCATTACAAAATATGAATTTCTTAATATTTACTGGAAAACTAAAGTTTATTCTGCAGAAAACAAATATTTCCCTTATTTGATGCCTGTCACTTTCAAATGTAGGGATGCATGTACATTTTAAGGTATAGTTTTGATAAGTCACCTGTCCCACTCCCTTGCAATGAGGCTTTGTGTTGACCGATGCATGTATTTACTTTTAAACAGGCCATATTCTTTTGAATCACTGAGAGAGGGATTTCCCTTGTAGTCCGGGTGTTGATATTGGATGCACCAGCTGATATCATTACAGCAGTGTGTTTTCATCCAGAGCAGGGGGTTCATTTTATCTGTCCCAGCTCACCGATGTAAGCAAGTACACAGCCTCTTATCACTGAAGACGGGGACCCTAAACTGTACCAGATATGTAAAATTAGGCAACACTCGGTGATAAGATTTTAGGCCAGGGTGTCATGGAAGAACCTTGCACAGTGGCCTCAGTGCTGTAGATGAGGGTTATGGGGAAAGCAGGAAGGAATGGGTGTGATATATGGGTTATCAAGGGGCAGGGTTCAATGAACAAGGGATACATAGGATTCAGAAGGCAGAAGTAAGGGGTAAATGAATGACTGATATATAGCAGTCAATATCAATGAAAGTAAGGGGTAAATGAATGACTGATATATAGCACTCAATATCAATGAAAGTAAGGGGTAAATGAATGACTGATATATAGCACTCAATATCAATGGAAAGGGTTAAATCATGCAGGATGCAGTAACTGAAGGAAAGTTTAGATAATGTGACATTTTTAATATTCAATAATTAGAAGAAATGGTTATATGAATGAGGTATATATAGAATTCAGTCATCAAAGGAAAGGGTTAGATAATGAAGGACATGTAGGACAAAACTGGAGAGAAGGGTTGAACAATGAAGATATGCAGGACTTGCTGATATGA